TAAAGGATTTATTTTAGATGTTTAAGCGTTGTAGGATACTACTATAATATTTAGTTTTATTTAATTGGCGTAATTATAATTAGTTAATTAATTGATTATGGAAGGAAGTGTGTGTGTGTGTGTATATATATATATATATATATATATATATTTATTTATTTATTTATTTATTTATTTATTTTATATATGTATATATATGAATTGTTAATATGTGATTAGTATAAGGAGGTACATATATATATATGATTTTAAATAATCAAGGTTGGTTATGGAAGGTATTGTACATATATTTATATTAAATAATATATGTGGATAGGTATATATTATTTAAGAGGATTATTATTAGTATTCTTATTTAATATATATCTAGATAGGTTGGTTATTAAATTAGTGATATACTTATAATCTGCATGAGATGTATATGTATGAATTAGCTATCGTTGAGTCTAAAGTTGGTACATGGTTGAATTGTAGGCATGGATGAGTTGGCATATGCGTAAATATATTGCCTAAGTATTTGTATGAATAAGATACATACATAGGAAGCATTGATGAGTTGCTAGTTTAGAAGTATAAATATATATGTTTGTGCAGGCATAGTTGAATTGCCAATATATAAATAAATATATTTATAATGACATGATTGATTTGTCAAAGCGTAATTAAATTACTATGTGTTAAATGATTAAAATTTCATCTACGGTTAATGTAGGTGTAAGTTGGATTAGGATTAGATATTCTTATATTAGAATAATCTAGTACTTACAGATTAATCGTTTATTTTATTATATTAATAAAATAATATTGGTAGAGACATGGATGATTTGTCAAAGCTTGGATGTTGAATTTGTAATTTAAATAATTACAATTATTATTAGGGATGTGATTAAATGTATTATTTCATTAATTATGTTTTATTATTTAAATGGTTTAATAATCGTTTAGGATGGAATTAAGGTTTAAAGAACTTTTCTTTAAAAGAAATAGTAGATTGATCTAGATATGATTAATATTTAATCATTGTTTATGGGTTTTAAAAATTAATGAAACTAGTAATAGATGTGTATTATATATAATTATTTATATATAAGTGTATCATTGTTTAATAAAGTTAAAACTTTATTAGGTTTAGTTTTGATCAGAGATGATCTGCTTATTTGTTTTCAGAGGTCTGATAAAGAAAACTTACTCGTGGGTTTGACCCACTTATTTTTATCTTTGCAGGTTATTAGAAGTTCAAGTTTCAAGGTTGATGATTCGCAGTTGGAGAACTTATCTATTCTTTCGATTTATTTCACAATAGTATGATAGACTTATTTTATTTATAGTGGACTGGATTATTAGATAATTTTCTTTTAGGGTCCTTGCATTACGGGATTCCCGAATTGTAATTTTGGAGAAGTATTAATAAAATTATTATTTATTAGTTATCTTCAGGGAGTCATTTATTCTTTTATTTCATTTTGTAATATGTGCTTGTTTAAATACTTTAATTGTTTTGATATCCCTTAATTTTGTGCGCGGATTTGATCAACCCGTGTTCAGAAATTAGGGTGTATCACAGGTTAAATATTAACCATATTTAACCCATATTTCACCCATCACATAATAAACACACAATACACATCTATACTATATTGCACTCAACTCATTTCTCTCTCTAAAATTCCCACTCAAAATCCTCTCTCTCTAAATTTGTCTCTCATTAATCCCCTCTCTCTAAGTTTCTCTCTCTAAAAATTTCTTCTAAAAAAAAAAAATAATTTAAAAAATTAAAAATAACTTTAAAAATAAAAATTTTTAAAAAATAAAAAATTTTAAAACCTTCAGAAAAAAATAATTTAAAAAAAAAATTTAATTTTTTTTAAAAAAATAAATAAAAATTTAAAAATTTAAAATAAATAATTTTTTTTTAAAATTAATAAAAAATTTTAAAAATTTTAAAAAATTTAAAATAATTTTAAAATAATAATTAATTGGTCTACGGATCATAACGGGTTGACCCTGCCCATTTTCAAACCACTCATTTTAACTCGTTCTGAACGGGTTGAATATGGGGTCTTGACCCATATTGACCCACCCATTTTTAACCCAACCCAAACCTAACCCAACCCGCCCATTTGCTACCCCTAATTGTAATAAAGAACCCTTATAGTAGGCTACGTCCGGTGAGTTTTAGTCTGACGCACAACTTCTGATACCAAGATCGTTGAGGGTACAAACTAAAGTGGACTAAACTACAGTAGTCATCAGTGAGTCTTCCCTAATTCTTCGCTGAATTCAGACACCCAATATCGGAGAATGAGTACTGAGTATGCTCTCAATTAGACCCGCGGCTTAAAGGATACATATGGTTGAATTGATGATTTTATTAGATTATTTCAATGCTATATTGATGAGAATGGTAGAATTGATGAGTTAAATTGAATTGTTGTGGGTCGGATTTGAAGAAACGGTGGGATGGAGATTATCAAACTCATAAATTCTCTATTCTCGTGACCTCATCGGTTGTAAAAAATTCGAGATCCGAGCCCGTCAGGCCGACCCAGGCCTCGAATATGCCAACTGGATCCTCGCCGTCGTCAACACACTCCTAGCCGCCAAGAGTAGGTTCAACAACCTGGCATAAGAGACGAGATTGAAGGCTTTATCGGCGAAGGCGAGCTTGCCTATTAGGGTTCAAGAGGTGTGCGAGTCGGTGGTACTGAGTGGCGATTGTGAATATCTTGCTACCAATGAGATCGTGACTGGTGAGGAGCTTATCGGTGATGAAGATCATTGCTCTGCCTTTGCTATTACTATTGTTGGGGGTGCTCCATTTTCTTCTCTCTGTAATATGTAGGGGTGCACATGGTCAGGTTCGGTTAGGTTCTAACAGAACCAGAACCGATCTCAGCAGTTCCTTAAAAATGAAACTGGAACCGTTGAGATCGGAACCAAATCGAATCGTACCGGTATTCACGGTTCAGTTCTAAAGAACCGTTGACTGTTGTTGACTACTACAATGGAAACTTAGAAACCTAAATTTCTAGGAGCTTTGCAAATCTCCGGCCACCCTTCATCCTTCCAAGGCTTGATAGGATTTAGTTTGCAAAACAAGAATTACAGTCTTACAGACCTTGATTAATTGATTTAGAAAAAAAAAAAAAAAATTAAAACAAAACCCATGTATACAAGTTAGCAGTTGCAGAGAGAGAGGGGGGCAAGCTTGAGAGTTGAGAGGCAGCGGCTGAAGTTTGCGAACAGCGAGCCCGAATTGGAACAACGAGCGATGGAAACTGAAAGATATGGGTTTTGATTTTTTGAACAATCTGAAAGGATATGCCAATATGGGTTTTGATTTTTTGAACAATCTGAAATGATTTGCCGATATGGGTTTTGAACTTTTGATTCTTGCAGAAAGATACATAAACTGAAATATATGGGTTTTGAACTTCTGATTCTTGTAGATTTTGTAGTTTGCAGTTGTAGAGAGAGAGGGCAAGTTCAGAGTTGAGAACGAGAAAAGAGATGGAGGCGATTGGGGAGGCTGAAATGATTTGCCCTAAAATATTATCTAATAATCTGAATATGTGGTAGCAGGCTAGCACTAGCAGCCACGGCCTACAACCCACAGCCCACAAGTATAATTATATATATATATTACTATTCGGTTCAGTTCCGGAACCGAACCGTGAGACCAGAACGCGAACCGAACCAAATCTCAATGGTCTCGGTTCCACGGTTCTTTTGTGCACCCTTAATAATAAGTGTTTTTTTCTTATTTATTTTCTTTTGGATTTGTATAGAAAAGGTCTACCTAAGGTATCTTATTGTGGAACAAGATGGTCATTAACAGAGGTGATGCGTTTTCATCGATGGGGAAGAAGACTCAAACTACACCGTTGATTTCTTATTTAATATATAGACTATAATCAAGTCTATAGCCAAACATGACCTTGGAGGGCAATTTGCGCATTATAATTTACTTTTTTGTTGATGTCAGGCAAAAGTGTCTCTTATCATTAAAGGAGGGGGGAGATTGATGTGTGTCAGAAAAAATAAGGAGTTTGACTGAAGATTTGCAAATGTGAAAGGGCCTCCTTGAAGTATTGACAAAGCTCACATGGAGTCTAAATGAATTAAAGCCAATATGTTTAAACGTACCTATATATGAAAGAATTTACGTCCTTTAAAGATCGAACAGTCTAGTAGATTATTTTTTGAGACTAAGTGGACCCTACAGGTGACTCAAAAAGGCCCATACTATATAATCAAATCAACTCAGGTCATGTGGTTTTTTATTTACATGTATTAAAGTCATCTTTCTTGATGTTTAGATAAATTACATATGAGTAGATACGAGTAGACCGTCCAATGTTTATTGTTTTGATTTTCTCTAAAACAGTTTGTTAACTGTCGAAGGTGACTTTAACTATAAAAAGTCAATAATACCCTTATATTATAATAATATATTATGTAATTATATTAAAAATATTGTTAATATGAAAACCTACGTAATCCATATGTAATTTGTCTAAACCTCAAGAGGGGGGTTAGTATAATTTATATTAATTGTCCAAATATCACCCTTTTATTTATAATCCTTTAAACAGATAAATTACACACTGCATTGAGGCTCGGAGGCAAAAGGAATTAATCCAATAGCTGGTAAATTACAAGATTAGGACATTTCACAAATACAACTATTAAACTACTAATACGATTTCAATAATTTATTCACTCCACAATTCAAACATTCCATCACTATTGAGCAGGAAGTTGATGGGTTTAGAATTGGGTCGGAGATCCAACCCATAGCCCAACTGAAGTGGACTTTAGTGTGGAGCTTCTTAAGCCCATATAGACTTACAAATTCGAATTTCATACCACCAAGGTATGACAAGAGGTTCTGGGTAGGAGAATTTGGGCCGGATCAGTTCCAAGTAAATATATACGGTCCGTATATTATATATATATATATATATATATATATATATATATATATATAATAATAATAATAATAGAAAAAACATTTGGGGTTTGGTTTGGATAATGCTCTACTGAGTATTGCATTGCACAGAGAGAGGGAGGAGAAAGAGAGAGATTCAAATGGCTATTTCATCACTGTCTCCAACAGTAATTGCATCACTTCCATTGTGCAATTCCTCCACCATTTCAACCAAACCAAAGCTCTGTTTCTTCTCTTTGCCCTCAAATGCCTCAAAGCTCAAAACCCTGAAGCACTTTCCCTTATCTACTACTACTAGGGTTTTTGCTGCTCCTGAAGTGTTGGATTCACAAGAAACCCTAGATGGTCCTGACACTACAGGCCTCGAGGTAATGCTTTCCCATTTTTCTTTGGCTCTTGAAGGACGAAGTAGTAATTCTTTCTTTGGTTTAATTTAATTTATTTATTTCAGGTTGAGGGTTCTGAAAGTGTGGGTTCTTCATCGCTCAGCATCGGTGCAGATGTTGATAAGGTAATTTCCACTAATCGCACCTCCAAATTATCTGTTTGGCTACCTAGGAATTTGAGAAAAGAAAAGAAAAAAAAAGGAGATAAGTTAGAATTTTGAATCTAAGGTTTTCATTAGTCTCAACCCAGAAAGGCACATGATTTCGCAAAGCAACAACTAAAATAAAATGCTCATTTTGTGTGTGTTTGTGTGTTGTGTAGATAGAACAAGGAAGATATGGTGGATAGAAACAATGGTTAACTTAAATTTTTGGTCTGACGGAACTGAAACTGTCATATTTTAGATGACTCGTATGGTTTTATTTCTCTTATCTTTTTCTAATTGGTGGTTCTTTTACTTGATTTCTCTCTACAACGAATGTATCGAATCTGTATTCCCGCTTGGTGAATTACTTTATGGAGATGGCTTGATAATGAGTTCTTAATATAATCTATGTTCCATGCATTCAATTGTATGGACTTAGCATAGTAGATGGTGCAAGGTGGCTATGGAGGTAGGTATTATGTACAAATTCCAATATATGGTTGTTTTTTTCCATAGAGGATTTGTTGTTTTAACAAGCATGCTTTTGGCGAAGTAGAGACTTTCATCTGTGTAAATCTATGTTGCCAAAGCAGACTTTTGGGGTTCTGGGAAGTCATCATGCTTTGGTGGGTGCCTATGTTTATTGTTCTCAAGTTGGATGTTTTAGGAATAAGTTTATCATCCTGGTTGAGTACGTTATGAAAACTGTTAAGCGTATGAGGTTAATAGAAGTTTGCTTGTTAAATTTTTTTTTTTTTGGATAAGTTTTGCTTGTTAATTTTGTACAAAGTGGAGTCTATAATTTTGTTTTAGTTTTGTTTATGTTTTAAAAGTTAAGGTAATTTACTTAGTGGAGTTATCTCTGTCCAAGGGAAAATTGGAGAATTTAAAGCTTTCGCAGGGGTAAAAGGATAAATTGAACTCTAATATTGTGCACTCACCAATTTAGGGTTCATATGCATCCATATATATTATTAAACATTAGGGTGTTTAAATTGCATGTTTTGATCCATAAATATGTGTCTTGGAATTACTTACCAAAAAACAAAAAGAAAAAAAAAGCGACTTGGAATTCATGAAACTGTTTTTGGATAGTCAAATCCTATTAGAACTAGGATTGGAAGTTCAATCGATCAAAGGATCAATTGAGACTCAGTAGTTTGGCGTCGATCGATATACATTTGGCTCGATCAATCGAGAATTGCTAAAAAACAGTTTTGAAACCTTATTTGAACTCTCTTAACCTTAAACTTTTTCAGCCTACAATATCTATCAATAAGATCCTTTGCTTTCAGAAAACAAATGCAACATATAATAACCGTAGAGAGCATATATTGAGCATCATATTTTTTACAAAAAACAAGCACCACACAAGACAAAGATTTACGTGGTTTGACACAAGTTGTACCTACGTCCAAGGTGAAGACCCGGTGAAAGATTTCACTATGTAAAAGTCAGAATATTACAAGTTTCAGGCCCGAAACCCTGGCTCTTACTCTCATTCTCTTTCTTGCTGTTTTCAGTGTTATCTCGTTACCCATTCCAAACCCTTAACGTTCTTATATATGGGGCTACAAGAGAGTAGTAAACAGGGTACTTGCAAGTGAAAAAATGGGTCAAAAAATTTTCCTCGTGGCGCTGTCCCCCGAAGCTTTGGTGGGCTTAGGCCCACACAAAAAGCTCACGTTGGGGGTCGAAAGGCCGAAACAAAGTTCGGGCCACAACAGCATAAAGTGCATCCTTGCAATTCAATTATTAGTTTTTTCTTTCATATTAATCATTGCATCTAGTATGGTGAATATGTTATTGAGGTGTTGATCATCAACTATTGTTGTGCTATTGGAGTATTCCATATCAACTATTGTTGTGCTATTGGAGTATTCAACACCGAATTGTTTCTACACAATGAACACAAACCCTAGATGACTAATCAAGGAAATCAAAGTACTCGTGGACAAATGGGTCGAGTGAGGAGCAAATCCATTGATGGAGCGGATTGTGTGTCTAGAGACTCAGGGTGTGAGCTTAGTGGATCAGTCTGTGTCAATTGGTAACCTAGTTATAAAATGTTTCCTAATTGTGGGTTTGTTCTCTCTGGACTAGGTGTCATACTTTTCCTCATTGAATTAACAGGGTGTGAGCTTATTTATTTTTGATTTCTATATTTAACTGATTCATATTGCTGCGAACTAAATATATATATATATATATATATATATATATATATATGCTTTTTTCATAAGCCATTCTAAATATGATTGTGCTAATTTAAAAAAAAATTATTGTTAGTAAAATTTGACAAGATTTATTCCCGCCCCACTCCCTCCTTCCTTTAGATCTATTTTGGGCCTTGCACTAACTCTGCACCTAGGGTTATGGCCTTGTACTTCTCATCAAGTAAATTAGTAAACTAGTTCTTGTTAATGTTCCTTCTGAAGGCCTCTTTAGGCTGCTCATTTAGAGCCTCTAAGGTGGCAGGAACTGTTGCTGTGTGTGTATATTTTTGTATACATATTCATATTCATATTCATATATAAAAAAATTGGGGATTGAATGGCATCTAAATCTTATTGGCACAATGAACTTGAAGGAAGTGTAGGTAGAATTTGATTACAAATGCTGTCTTTTGATAAGTTAGAATAAAGAAACTTCTTGAGCTTTAGCCTTTGGTTTTTCTTTGATAGGGGCTTTACTTTCATTTCATGCTTCATAGTTGTCTTTAAGCAGGTCCATATAACATGTTAGAATAAAGAAACTTTTTTTTTTTTGGTTCCTGGGTTTAGAATAAAGGAACTTCTTAAGCTTTAGCCTTTAGTTTTTCTTTGTACTCTTGATGTTAGCTCTGCATTTTAGTGCTTTATACTTGAACACTATTTAGACATATGAAACTATAGTTCATGCTGTTGAGCACTTTTATTCTTGATCTTCTTATCTTCGCATGGTAAATGGTGTTTTATATTCACTCTTAAGCACACAAAATTTTCATTGGTACTGTTCTATCATTTATAATAGTTTTAACTGGTTAGTACTGTTGCCTTCATGAACTAGAATTCTTTTTAGTTTCCTAATTTTCTAGCAACACTAAAGTATCTTGTCTGTTTAAAATTTGACCTTGTCAATGCTATTATTTAAACCCAAGGGGATAGCGGCAAAAACTCTCACCTCACATCTTGGTGGAGGTTGGGAATTCAAGTCCCTTTGGGGCCACCCCTAGGAATTTTACTGATAATTTCCAGGTGCATGTCTGATGGGGGGACTGCATGTGTCCGGTGGTGAATTATGGGGTGCTCTAAAAGGGCCCACACCACCATTGTTATCCCCAAAAAAGGTGCTTTTATAAATTTATCTTCTTATTATTATGATATTAAACTGAAATAATTGCTCTGTAATTATTACATGAATTAATTGATTATTGAATTAATTTATTTTAAGTAATCAAAATATGGTTCAATTGTGAAGCCATGTGACACGGTAAATTCATGTCTTTTACTTATCAATAGCTTCCCACACTGAAAGAGTTTCGGTATGTGCCAAGGAGAGCCCTTTTATTTTCATCTTTTCAATGAGTTAAATAATTATAATTAAAAAAGTTTTCATTCATATGGATGTAGTCTCTTTGAATTGCATGGGAAAAAAGAAAAAGCTCTACTGTTCTTTTTCGCATAGGTTTGTTGTAGTCTGTGTGGCTGATTGGGTTGAATCAGAACTTGGATAATTTCTTTGAAAAACCAGAAAGTTCTATTGTTCTTGTTCACGTTGATTTGCTCTATGCTGTGGGGCTGATTTGACCCGAGTAGGATCTTTTATGATCCTTGGACGATTAGCCAAATGAGCAATTGCAGTGGCTGAAATCAGCCACACTTCTGACCACAATCCTACACTAAACCTGGTGTGTGTAATCTGAGATTTGGAATACTACTACTTAAAACTAGTTATTTGTGTTATCTTCATGGTTTTAGTTACACTACAATCATCTCAATGTGTTACTCCTATTATCAGGTGTCTCCAAAGCAGAAAATTCGAATTAAACTGAGGTCGTACTGGGTGCCGCTTATAGAAGACTCCTGCAAGCAGATAATGGACGCAGCAAGGACAACAAATGCGAAGACCATGGGTCCTGTGCCATTACCAACCAAAAAGCGAATTTACTGTGTACTTAAATCTCCACACGTACACAAAGATGCCCGCTTCCATTTCGAGATCAGAACTCATCAGCGCCTCATTGATATTCTATACCCGACTGCCCAAACGATAGATTCCTTGATGCAGCTTGACCTTCCCGCTGGAGTTGATGTGGAGGTCAAGCTTTGAAGAAGCAGTGCTGCAGCAAACATTTTAATGTTGATTATTTTCTTTCAACATCTATGCCCACTTCCAAATTTGAACCTTGTAGAATGCCTTTTGAACAAACAGTAGTTGAAAATGTATACAGATGCAATTTTTTTGTCTCAAAGTTTGATTTGTCAATTTCATGTGAAGATGTTACAATGCTTGGGCATCTGACTCCTACAATATCCCTTTGTATCAAACTCCTAGAGTGACTTTAATATCTCCTTGCCACCATGTGAATTTGATCTTCTATTTTCTAATTACTCATGAAAACCTATCCAATATTTTTCTCTCTCAATGTTGTTGCAAATAATCCCAAAAAAAAAGATTCAAAGGTATACAAGATTTAGCAAATCACATCATGCCGGTGGCAGATTACATCTTTTACACACACGTGTATGTGTAGATTAAAAAACGAATGATACAATCTCTTGCATTTAAGAAAGCTTAAAAATTAAAATCGAATCAAATAATTCGCACCACAAACCAATCCAAACTTTATTTATTTTTGTTATTTCAACTTTCTTCTCTAAAGTGACAATTGGTTGAGTCAGTGCGAGTCCAAATGTAAAAGGTTGAGATTGGACGGCTTCCTTGGCCATAGGTCACTTTCATACAAGAAAATGTCACCTTTTAAGTATCAAGACTTGGAATATATGTGTGTCACCTTCAATCAAGTACTAATGCTCTGTTTGGTAGGAGGAAAAGAAAAAAAAAAAAATTGAATGAAAGGAATATATGAAGAGATGAATGAGAAGAGATTGTATCATTTCTTCTTTTATTTGGAAAGAGAATATATTAAGATAATACCTTATTTTGTTTGTTGGGAAAGAAGAAAATGAGTGTTAATTATAAGAAAATTTTTGTATTTTAAAAACTTTTTAATAGTCTTGAGTTCACTTCATATTTGGAAAAATAAAAACTTGTGAAGGAAGAAGGATGATTCAAGCATCTTATCTTCTTCTCTCTCCTTGCTTCTTTCCTGTCAAACCAAAGAAATTTGTTTCTTTCTTCCTATCTTCCCTCTACCCTTCTTCATTCTTTCCTACCAAACAGAACATTAATATTCTCTCTCTCTCTCTCTCTCTCTCTCCCCCCCTTACAAGCAGGGCAAAGTTGTCCTTAAAGTCAGCCATTTACATATTGCTTCTACCCTCTTTACACTCTGTTTACTCTTCCCCTGTTTCTCAACTGACTAGAACGATATCCTCAACAATGTAACTCTCTCTCTCTCTCTCTCTCTCTCTATATATATATATATATATATATTTCTATATATATATATATATATATATATATTTCGATATCCTCAACAATGTGTCTACTACATTTATGATTTATATGCCCATAGTCTGCTTCTTTGAATAAATTTTCTGAATTGACTTGCTTTTGGACATCTCTGAACTACTTGTTTGATTTATATGCAGTCTTCCACAAGTCCGCGTTAGGATCCATTTAAATTATTGTAAATGCTTATACATATAGATACATACTGTCATACACATGTACACACAAATAAACAATAGGGATCCATTTAAGGAACCCTAGTACTATGTTCTTTGCAGGTGGATAGATTTTACATCTTAGATGTGATTTTGATATTGGAGTGAATTGTTCAAAATCCAACTTTCTGCTATTAAGATTTCTGCTCTGTGCTTTAGTTAACAAATTAGATGACTCTCAATCCATGATATTTTATTCGTGTAGTTGAGTGAATCTAACCATTCAGGAATTTAGCAAGAGCTTTATATATATTAGGTTATATCCAAACTGTATGATTAATTGTCTAAGCTACTAAATTAATCATCTTCTGTCCCATCTATATTTATTTCTTCTATTGTAGAAGCAAGTGATTCAGATAGAAGATGATATTTGAAGGTAGATTTATATGAAATATAAATATGGTTTATCTATCTTATTTGAAGGTGGATATATATGTCAAAAATGTGTGCAAGTCATTATAGAAACTTATCAAAAGGTCTGATTAATTAACCTGTTCATGCATGCTTCATTTGTATCATGCATCTAAATATGTCTTTCTTGATTTTTATACTCAACATTTCACATAATCTAGATGAAAAGCAGTCATTCCACTGAGACAGTTGAACACTCGAATAAACACGGCTCTACAATTGATGATGGAGTTCCCATTCCTCTCCATCCCAATGATTTTCACGTTCCTGCTCTTTCTGTTCATGCTATTCAAAACGAACATCAGTTCAACTCCAAAACTGCCTCCAGGGCCATGGAAGCTAACCCTAATAGGAAACATTCACCAATTCGTTGGATCTCTACCCCATCACTGCCTAAGAGATTTGGCTATGAAACATGGACCTCTGATGCACCTACGGCCAGGGGCGGAGCCAGGATTTTGAGGTTGGGGGGGCCAAAATTATAAATAACATTACCTAACTAGAACTTTGGGAAAAAAAAATATATTATGTAGGCAAAAATATTTTACTATTCATTATATTCATACAAATTATATCTATTTAAACTTTTTGAAATTTTTTATCAAACTTTCTGAACAAACACAAATAAGATTTATGCCAAAATTATAAAAAAATTCAATTAAATAACTCTCTTTATTAACCGAAAAGTAAAAGAAAAACAAAAATAACTTTAAAAAAAATGTAACAATTGAAAATTTAACAAAACAATAACAATGATAAAAAAAATATAAAAAAATAAAAAAAAAACACAAACAAATTAATAAAAAAAAAATTTAGATTCTTAAATCATCAATTTTTGTTGATATTCAAAACTTCAAATGAAATTTTTGTTCTTGATTTTGTAAAAATTAATTTCTTATAGAATTCTTATAACAGTATTTCAATAAAAATGAATAAAAAGAAGGAAAAAAAAATTGATGGAAAGAATCATGGAATTTTAGAATAATAAGGTTATGGAAAGAATCGTGCTTGTAGTCACATTATGGAAAAAACGGTATTTGAGTTGAAATTTTAAGATAGCCACATTAAATTTTAATGTGAATTAATTTTTATTGGGATTCTATAATCGTTAATTAAATCACTATATAAACTATTTTTTTGTTAAATTCTAATTAAAGAAATAATTTTTTTTTCTTAGGGGGGCCAAGTATAGATTTTGTACTATATATACTATATTATTTTATTTTTACCTATACTAAAAAAAATTTCCAAAAAATTTGGGGGGACCATGGCCCCCGCCGGCCCCCTCTTCCCTCCGCCCCTGCCTACGGCTTGGACAACTTTCCATCGTTGTTGTTTCTTCAGCAGAAATTGCGAAAGAGGTGATGAAAACACATGACATTGTCTTTGCTAGTAGGCCTTTTCTACTTGCTGCAAATATCATATGTGAGATGACATTGCCATGGCACCTTATGGAGATTACTAGAGACAACTTCGAAAAATTTGCATACTGGAGCTTCTAAGTGTCAAATGTGTCCAATCATTCCGACCCATCAGGGAAGTAGAGACCTCGGATTTGATCAAATCTATTTCGACGCATATAGGATCTCTAATCAATCTCACTGAAAAGCTTTCTTCGTTGACATACAGCATCACTGCAAAGGCGGCCATTGGTAAGAAATTCCAAGGGCAAGAAGAATTCATATCACTTGTCAAGGAAACCATAGAGATAGGAGGAGGTTTCAATGTTGTTGATCTCTTTCCTTCATTTAAATTGCTTGCTTTGATAAGTGGGCTGAGGCCTAGACTTGAGAACATTCATCGAAAACTTGATAGGATATTAACTAACATCGTTGTTGAACATAAAGCTAGGAAGGTGGCAACACAGACCGGTGATGGTGAAGCTGATCATGAAGCCTAGTAGATGTTCTTCTAAAAGTTCAAGAGAAGGGTGACCTTGAGATACCCTTAACTATGACAAACCTCAAGTCAGTTCTCTTGGTAGTACATTTACTTACTGCTTCTATTAATATCAATGAATTAAATTCCAAAACCCTTATAACACATGAAAATTCAGTTTTAAATATTTGATGTTCAATATGTACTGCTGGTCCAACATCCCAAGTGGCCAATGCCCAAAGTGGCATCTTTAAGGGCAAGCTCTCAAAGTTGCAGAGAGCATAACAGGAGTCAAGATGGCATGATAGCGTTCTTTAACTCCATGTCAATGTCAGAAATGTTGAAAAACCCAAGAGTTATGGAAAAGGCACAAGCTAAGGCGAGACATGTTTTATGTCAAAAAAGAAATATTGTTAATGAAAACGAGCTCCATGAATTGAGTTACTTAAAGTTGGTTATCAAAGAAACCTTGAGATTACACACTCCTCTCCCTTTATTAATTCTAAGAGAGAGCAGAGAGAGATGTGAAATCAATGGATATGAGATACTTGCAAAAACCCAAGTCATTGTCAATGCATGGGCAATTGGTAGAGATCCTGAAAATTAGAGTGATCCAGAGAGCTTTTATTTGGAGAGATTCCTTGACAATTCAGCTGATTATAAGGGAACTCATTTTCAATATTGAGAATGTGTCCTGGCATGTCGTTGGGGATAGCTAATGTTGAGCTTCCACTTGCAAATTTATTATATCACTTTGATTGGAAACTTTATGAGAGAAGCTAGAAGATCTAGACATGACCAGTTGGCAGGAAAAGAGATCTGAATGTAATTCATATGGCTTATCATCCTTCAACTGGTGAGTAAGATATTAAGACAAGAAGACATTATTATTATTCCGATTTTTGTTAGAAGTCTAAACAAATTCGAATTATTCTAATTTTTAGTATTTAGTGATTTTTAGTAATTAGGTTTCATTAGCCCAGTTTGATTTAAATTCCAATCTCATCACTGTAGAGAACTTTGGTATGATATTGTGTGCCTAAACATGCTTTCGATTTTGGTTGGCCCTTTTATATGCATTATGGAGATGTATTTTTTGCCAAGAGCACCATTCAATGGCCATATTACTAATTGAATAAACGCCGTTGGCAAAGAATGTGGGATTTCCGAAAGTATCGGTAATAACAAATTGCTACGTTGTAATTTCTTATCTTTTAAAGTAAAAGATGAAATGTTCAAGTCTTATAAGACAAAGGAAAAAAAAAAAAAAACCAAAAAATATGAAGTGTTTGATGATGTATTATATAAAATATATTTTACAATTAAAAATACTTCCTAACACACGGACATTGTTAAAAGTGTCCTGAGTTTTGAATATTTTATTTTTTGGCCGGACATGATAGTAACATGTTTCGGACACTTTTAGGACACGGCAGTGTGATTTTATAATTATTTTTTTGTTTTGGATTAAA